GCCGAGAGGGATTCATCATCTGAAGGTAAGCATGAGCACATAGTTTAATTCAGGATTAAGCTAATTAGCTCCCATCAAACTAATTCTTGAATAGATATCACAGCTGGGCTCCTCCTCAGTGGTCTCTAACCCTGCATGCTCTTCCTCAAACACCCAGCAGAGGCCACTGTGGCCTTCACAAGACCTTTGACATCAACTCTCCTCTCTCTCTCGCTCTCTCTCTCTCTCTCTCCTGGACTCAGCTGGAAGGCAATTGGCTAAGTCACTGGGCCCCAAAAAATGATGAAAGTTAAATGCCTTATGATGCAACAGCACAGTTATGCAGTTTATTGCAATGTTGTGATGCAAAAAAATTGTTTTTTGTTCTGCTGAAAGATGTCTTTTCACATCGTGTTTGAGTCTGAATGTTGAACTGTCAAGGACATATCCCATTGAAACCCTGCAGACATGTCTGATTAGCATACATCAGCAGGATTTGACACATCTGCCTCCTTCTGCACGACATTAAGCATCACCAGCTCGCTTCAGGAAAATTAGAATAACACAGTAACACGAGTAATTCATGCAAAGTTTAAACAAAAAGCAGTGTGGCACATGGAAATGATCTTACCATATTTGTAAAAAAAATGAGAACTGAGAAATGTCTCAGAACTCCTGACAGCACATGCAAAAAATTAGCCTAAACCTTGAAGCATGTAGTAGGATTCTAGTTCTTTAAACTAGACTTGGAAAAATTGGCACATCCTTCCTCTACAGCTTTTTACACAATCACAGTATCCATTGGTTTGAATCCTAACCTTATCACTTCCTGTCACTCTTCAGTTGGCCTGTCTAATAAAATCAAAAAAGTCTACCAATTGGATATAATGTCTGACTTTCGGTCCCATGGACAAAACTGTTTGTGCATCAGGTTGGGACACGTTTTCCACTTGGAGGTTTCAGATTTTAAACTACTGACGACCTCATGGTAAATGGTCATTGGTGAATAGATTTTGAGCAGGTCTGCAGGTCACCACCTACCAATTTCACCCATCCAAACACTCATGGCAACGGTTGCTATGTAAAGCGACTATCAGAAGAAGTAACTTATCCCAATCATACACATTCATACTCCATCGACGAAGCAGCGGTTGCAACAAGGGGTTAAGGTTCCAGAGGACACATGGGATCTTCCAGTTAGAAGACGACGGATTTTACCAACTGAGCCACACTTTAACGTCCTCATCATTAAGCTTAACTGTTTAGAGTTTTTATTTGTGTATCACTTTTCTTTAAGGCTCCTGTGATATCACTAGAGATAGCGGCTCGGTGCTCCTTAAAGTCCAGTGTGTGAGGTAATGACTGCAACAAGCTGAGGCCCCTCATGTAACATCTGTAGTCACTGCAGATTGATGTCACTTTGCAGAGGTAGGAGGCAGTGTTTGCTTTTACTTACTGTAATCATCTGCGTCTGATCTCTCGCTGCCCCGGCATTAACTTTTCTCTTAACTGTGGTGACGACCCTCCAATGGAAAAGAATAATAACCGCCCGCCTGTAAACCGTCATTTGCACGGGTACAGTTGTTCAGCATTCGCAGAGCATCTATGGGCGCAAGATGGACGTCGTCGGCCAACAGAAGCTGAGAGGCGGAGCGTCTCATCTCCCCTCTGAACACGACTAATGTCCCATAAGGAAGCAGGTGTGAGAGGGGGAGGCGGAGCAGGAGGGGGGAAAAGAAACCGTAAAGCTTAATGGATCAGAAATGGTGGCTGAGAAATCAATCTCCCTCTCTCTCTCTCTCTCTCTCTCTGCCTCTCTCATCCCACTGCTTCCAGTTTGTGGTTTTTTTGTTTCACGCATGGAAGCTCGGGCGCCTCCATGCGTCACAGCCATGGCTCCATCCGACCAATGAACTGGTACACCGGTGAAATATCACAACCATTTGTCTCTGAACTCATCTCTTAAAATGGCCTGTTTGTTTTGTGTCTTTCTTCATCAGCAAGGCGGGTCGAAACAACTTTCAAATTTGCCTCGATGAATGATTGAAGCAAGTTAACAGACGACCAGTCTTTGTAGAGAAACACCAAAGTCTTTGTTTGAGTCCAGAAGAGTTTCTTCTTGAGTCGATTAAGATCACATGACCGCTCCTAACCGCCTGTTCTTCGTCTGTAATTGGTTTGAAGCAGCAGACGGCTTTGTGTGCCTCAGTTACATCCGACCGGCATCCTTTTTTATCTCCCTTAAGAGACATTTTAACATATTGATTTATTTGAAATGACAATAGACTGTACATATTAATCAAACAAAGCCTGAGTGATGTCACCCATCTGTCACAGCAGGGGGCTTTGGAGGCCTGTCGGTGGCGATCGCAATGCTGTCTCAACCTAACTTTCAGTCAAACTAACGACAGGCTTAGAGCTGAGGCGAGTTTTAAGCCTCTTAACAAACAATATGATGCGCTCGCCTGTCGATCAGGTCAGACACGCACCTAACAATGCATAACTCATATCCTTCATATAAATCCAAACGGATGAGGACAAATCACTAATCGGACCAAAATCCTTATTTTTGTACCAGACTGTAATGTTTGCTGTTAAAACGAGCATTTTTAAACACTTAAGGATGTCACTTGGGAATGCCATATTTTAGATTGGGCTACATTATGGATACACACTCACACAAACACACACACACACAACATTGTTTCATCTTTAAATACTCTAATCTTTCCCGAGATGTTTCAATAATGTGTGTTTAAAAGAGGACAAAGAGTATGAAACCAAATCAAAGTGCGTGTCTCCGAGACAATTTGAAGAAGGAGCTGTGGAGATGAAAAATGATGAAATGGGTGTGAAATGACAATCAGAGGAGTACTTTGCATTCAATAGCCACGTGTCTGCAGACAAGATGCGTTTAGCTGTTGTTGGACATTCATGAAAAAAACTGAAATGTCACTACCTTTATTAGATTCTGTGACCTCAGCTCACTCCTCTTAACGAGAAGCATGGGGTCATCATGAGGGCTTTGCAGTTTTGCGGTAAAATGTCAAACCCATAAGCTGATCATGCTGGGAAAACTCCTCCCAGAAGGCATCGAAACCACATCACAACGTGATCCACAAAACCTTTACAGTGAAACTTTTATCAAACAGCAACGGGTCACAGTCGCACGTTGTCTTCATACGCTAGAATCAAAGAACTCAACAACCAATGGCGGCGACAGACACATTCTTCATGTGTCAGGGGTTAAAGAAGGAGGCCCTTTGGGGTCGTGGGCACATGCTTCCAATTAGACCTCAAATAGGCAAGAGGAAACAGTTGATTTAGGAATATTACTGGAGAATGACTCTAATTAGACGAGAGACTAAGGGGCGCTGGATGTGGGAAACACTGTCAGGCTGGACAGAATTAATCAGCGGCACCAACGGGGGCTTTCTGAGGCAACTGGAAAAAACAGACGACTGGAGGGGTGGTATTTGTTTTTCACCGCCCGACTGATAAATCATGGCTGTACACAATAAGTTGAAAGGGGAAGATAAAGGCAGAGCAGATAGAAGAAGAGACGGGGGTTGTACAAAAGAAACAAAGGTTTCAGCCTGTCTTGTCAGTTTTTTTTTGTTTTTTTTAAACTCTGCAGCTGTTACCACTTGCTATCGCCACCTCCAACCGGCACAGCTGGAACGTGACTTTCAAACCATCAACAGGCTCATTTGAAAGGCAAATGGAGCTGAATTGAATGTCGCTGTATCGCTCCATGCAAAAAGCCACGGTGTTATTAGATAGTGAAGGCTGTGACTCGGCCGCTCTGAATATTTCAGCATGTACTGTTTTCATTTAGCGATAGTAATGTGAGGTGGATTCGATTTCCTCGACCAAAACGCATCAAACCCAATAGTCCGAGTTTAAAATGGCATGTTTCCTAAAATTTATTGGTATTTAGAAATGAGCTGCTGATATAAAGCAATGTGTACACACATTAAACTACTCATACAGTTGTTAGAAGAAGCTCCTCCTTGGCAAGCCAACACTGAAACACCGTTACAATCACATATAATAGATCAGTTATTAGTTTGCCTTTTTCTACATTTTAATGTCATGTCAATCATCGTCTGTGCCAGACTAAAATTAAGTCGTTTTGTTACCTTTTCTTAAACGCACAGTATGTGCATTTGACCACCAGGGGGCTCTCAATCAAAACGGCAAAAGATGAGTCAAGGCAGGTGGGGAATCATGGGAGTGATTCTGTCTGCTACTCCACCCCAAACCCGGATGAAAGTAAACTCAGAGTGGACCGTAGTCAAGACGAACGGGCGAAACCGACCTGACGAAGAGAATATGTTTAACCAAGGATCGTTTAAATTACATTTCTATCACAGCAGCGCATACAGCAACTAGTACGGCAGCTTTCAGTAGCAGTTCCCGCTTCCTTATGCAGCGGCCTGTGACGTAACATCCAGCGTTTCCACGGTAACGCTAAACATTCTGTGTCCGTCATGGTGGCTCTGTCATGGCGGCCGCTGCCACAATACAACTTGTTTGATAATATTTGTTTCAACTATAATATTGTGGATTTCACTGGATTTTATAAATGTTGGAAATATTTGAGATAATATCAGAACACAAACACAAAAATGTATAATATAAAGTAGGTTTAGTACATTTTTTATTAATTTAGATATTTTAGTGGAAAAATCCTTACTTCCTGTTTGTCTTGACGATGGTTTGTTTACATCACGGTAGAGAGGGGTAGCAGAGAGAGTCACTCCCATGATTCCCCGGCAACCTCGACGTCATCTTTTCTTATTGTTTTGATTGAGAGCCCCCTACAGGTAGCATTTACATACTGTTTGTTTACACCTTTTTTTATTTATGTTAAGGCTTAATTATGAGATATTCATATTTACTTCCTTGTGTGTTTTCATCTTGCTGTAATTAAAGTACTGGATCTGAATACTGCCTCACACACTTCCTGTGGCACATGATGCTTAGATTTCCCCTCAGTCACAAATCAAATCAGTCAGCCACATATAAAATGCTTCTCTGATTTCAGTGTCTTCCTCCTGCAGGTGTAATACTAATCATCACTTTATCAATTCACTTTGATTACGTATCGCTGCAGCGGCGGCGGCTCCCCTGAGAGGTTGCTCTGCTTTCAAACAAGCCGACCGAAACTAACTCTCATTGCATTTATATTCCTGCGCTGACTTAACCAGGTAGACACCCAACCTAAGATGACTCTTTGTAATTATACCGCAATTACCCGGCAGACTCAGTGAGCCGGTGGATGGAGCAGCGTATTAGAACCATTGTGGAGCTCTGACAGCTTCACTTAATTGATTGATGCACAGCAACTAACTGGTGATTACCATGCTGTGTGCTCACATGAATCATCTTCTTCTTTTTCTTTTTTTAAAGCTTTCAGCCACACATTACACTCCAGAGAGCATGTGGCATGAAAAAAAATCCCATATATGGCAGGTTGTTGATGTTTACGCAGAGGTTACAATATTATCACCTTGATTGTGTGTGTGTGTGTGTGTGTGTGTGTAGAGGCTCAGGTGTGTCTCTGTGAATATGCTGGTCTATTATGTATGAATATCACAGAGGTTTCTGTCAGAACATTGTGCCTCTCTGCTCGACTTCACACACCGACACTTTTCTCAAAACCTGCAATTTTCTTTGCATTCCTTAAATAGCTTTTGTCTCGGAGGGCCGAGTCCCCGCAAAACTGAAACTGAATGATAACGAAGGCTTACAAAGCTGTAAAAAAAATTATAATTATACATTTATTTAAAAAGGAATGAGATGGAGAAATGGATAGGGTCTAAGTATTCCCCTTTTCTGATGTGTTTACATTTATAGTGATATAACGCATAATTAGAAGAGAACATTTTTAATTACACTAGAAAAAAAAAGATGATTGGCTTGTTGAGGTCAAAGTCTAGGTTTCTTTATAAGCACATAGAAAGGTAAATGGTCGGTGGTTACATTTTATGTAAATTTGAAGAAATAAACAGTCTAGAGTTGTCTCCCTGGTTTAAGTCGTTATGCTAAGCTAAGCTAACAATGCTCTGCTCCAGTTATATATATTTGACAAACAGACATGATCGTGTTGTTGAGCTTCTCATCTAACGTCTGGGAGGTGGGCAAACAAGCCTGAAAGTATTCAGTCAAACGTAACAGTTTATAATGCTGAGAAAAAGTTACATTTGATGGACATACTGCTGAAAAACCTTTTAATATGCACATCATGAACATACACCATATTGTGTTTGATGACTGTTCCTACATCACAAAGAAAGATGTCTGTTACATATTTATAACCTAAAACTTAAACCCTGTCAGCACACAGTTCCATACAGTGGCGTACAGTAATGGGCCACATCCCGTCCACTCGTGTGCACTTTGTCCTACATATTTGTATATTTCTCAGAAGAAGCGGCTGCTCGGCCCTCAACTGCTTCCAGATGTGGAATGCCACAGATAATCTGTTTTAGTGGATATCAACGCGAGCAGGGTGTCCTGCAGAAGCTGAAGGTCCAGATCCGGGCTCCCAGATAGTAGACGTCCCACACGTGCAAAGGAAAAGAAGAAATACACACCTGGACAGCACACACAGTCTACTACACACTCACACAAGCACATACTGTACACTAAGGCACAAAGCCTTTTTTTTAAAGTAGAGAAATGGAAGATTAACCAGGAAAATAAGACTGAAAAGATCAGCTAACTTTGACTTTTAGAAGACATCTTACAAACACTATAGTTAGAGTTTATGAAGAAAACTATTAAGCAATTAAAGATTATTTTAACCAGGGCCCAACCGATAGCGTTTTTTTTTTGTAGCAAATACCGATTTTGATGTTTGGGAGGGAAAATAAATCTGATACTGATGTATTGGCCGATATCTTTCTTAGATCTATGTTCAATCTGTAGAGACAGATAGATATAAATATACACATTTTTTTGTGTGGATCCCTCAAATGCAGATCAAACACTTCACCGCTGGACACTCTGATAAATTATTTTTGTAGTCCATATAGCGCACTCTGCTGGTGAAAGGGAACTGCTTTTGACTGGTGAATAAATTTAGTAATATCTGCACATATCTGGGATAAAATTAGCCGATACCGATAACTGGATAAGCTAATGTTGGCCGATATTATCGTCTGGCCAATTAATCGGTCGGGCTCTAATTTTAGAAAAAGCTACTGCAGAGACATGGTGTTGGGCATTTTAACTTCTGTGAATGTACATGGATATGCATTGTATCCCTATGTGTTTCCATTTAAACATTCAGCAGAAAAAAACAAATGACTACACAAACGTTTAGTACAACACCCCAGTACAAAATAAAAGCATTTCTTCACAGTAAGATGAATTACTCACACATGTTTTTTATATAGAGAAAACATCTTACATTTATTAAAAACACTGTCAGGATGGTAAGCAAGTTTTTGATTATTTTGTGGTTGAATTCTTTGATAGCTGTTCATTCATCCTAGTTGATCCAATGGTTTCATGTGCATCGATCTGAAGTGGTTTGACGTTAACGGCTGACAGATGTTTATCAAAACACAAGCAGATAGGGAACACAGGAAGATCTGATGTCATTTGAAAATGTGAGATCAGTCCCTGTTTGATCTGCCTGTTCACCAATAAGTCTCTGTAAGCTGTCTTCACCAACATGTGCAACGTATAGCAACGCAGAGGAAGGATTTCAGGATGTTTAATACAACTATTGACATTTAGTTTTCTGTTTTGATTTCGAGGGGGAAATATTCAGTATTGCATTTCATTACAGCTGGGCTCCAGGACCCTTTAGCTGGCCGGCCTCCCACCGCCAACATAAACAAGCGAGCCGGTACGCCATGTGCCAGGACATCTCAGCAACCCAACGTGTACATGGCAACAGAACAGAGCAGAGGGCCGGGCACCAGGGCGACTCATCATCCAATCCCAGTAAAAAGTTTTCCAGACTGGCTAAAGTGTCCAAAATAATCAGCACGGTTTAGAAAGAAAACTGAACAAGAAATGAAGAAAAAGAAATCCCCTTAACAAATATTATCAAGCAGGGAATTAATGTCATGGCTGTACTTTGGGTGTTTTTCTGGCCACAAAACCAAAGATCGGCTTTGTCTGTAGGATGAAAATTTCCCTGGCACCAGCGCAGTCATCATAATGTTTGGCAGCAGGTTGCTTCAATGGACGACTTTTAGAGCAAGATACACATCCAGTGAGGATAGAAAAGCAGTCATCCACTCTGAGCTGAGCTGGAAACCATCCTAAAGTAGCATCTTCAAAAACAGCAAGGCATGCCGGTAAATACATCAACATCATAAAACAAACTTTCTCAAAGTCAGCTGCATGGGATGTGGAAGTACGTTATTCAAAAGGTTCTCTTGTGGTAAAGGAGGCAATGTGTCAATAAGACGCCAGGTTGCAGATCATAAAGCATAACAAGCTCACATTTCTCAAAAACAGTTGGCTGCTGCTCGGGGGTTGGGGGGATGGAAGCGATTTGAGAAAGAGAGAGAGTAAAGAGAGAGGGGGAGAAAATAATATTCTGTTAGATGTTGGATTCCAGACATCGTGGATCATTGTTGTCTCTGCAGAGAAAAGATTTGGGGCCCCTTTGCATATAGTCTCCGCAGAAAATTCTTGGTGGGAAACTATCCAGAACTATAACAGAGTAGATACAGCAGATGTGTCACTAGTTGTTAAGTTGTGATCTGCTTGGCATTAGAAACATTCTTACTGCTTTTGGGACCTGATTCGTTGATTGAAGCAGCATATCCGCATGTTCAGAATTTCAATGGCTATAAGGAACGTCAGTCATCCGCACAGTTGCGATGCAATTGGCTCGGTATAAGATACATCCGAAAAGGTGGGAAGACATCTCCGTTTCAACTCATGCTTTCATTGGCTATTGTTGGCTTGGAAATGCCACCTTGCAGTTTGTAAGCTATGATTGAGTTTTAGTTTCAGGGGACGGCTGTGGATCAGTTGGTAGAGTCGGAAGGTTGGGGTTCGACCCCCACCTCCTGTAGCAACACGTCCGATGTGACCTTTGGGCAAGACACTTAAAACAGAATTGCACCCGCTGCAGCGTATGGATTTGTGTATGAATGGGATTAGTTACTTCTGATGGTCGCTTTACGTAGACATCTGCCATCAGTGTGTGAATGGGTAGGTGTGACCTGCACTGTAAAAGCACTTTGAGTACTCAGAAGAATAGAAAAGCTCAAGTCCAGTTACCATTACCAGCTTGGGTTAGCAAACAGCTAACAGTTGTAGCAATATTCTCTGTTCTACTCATAATTCTGTATCTTGTTATTCCCGTCTTAAATCGACAGGTTGCAGATCTGTATCACCTTCTCTTCTCCATATTTTCAAGCTGCCTTATATTTTCTCTTTTTCATCTTTTCCCTCACAGCCTCCCTGCCACCTCTCCGACAACCCCGTCCTCAAACGTCCCTGAACTTGTGAAACTTTCCTCATTTCTCGCCTTATTTCTTGCTATTTCAACAGGTTCTTCATGTCTCTGATCGTGTCTATACTCTGGTCTCATCTGATCTCTCTCTCTCTCTCTCTCTCTCTCTCTTTCTGCTCCCTCACCTCCTTCCTCTCCTCTCACAGAGATGTGAAGAGCGCTGCCCTGGGTTCTGGCCTTGAAACAAGCGGTTGCCTTGTGAGGCTCTGTTTGCTTTGGGAGGTGTTTTCTCACATAGCAGCGTTTTGCGGCCTTGCAGATCACACCTCTGTGTGTACGCTGTGTGTGTGTGTGTGTGTGTGTGTGTGTGTGTGTGTGTGTGTGTGTGTGTGTGTGTGTGTGTGTGTGTGTGTGTGTGTGTATTTTTGGGATACTCAGTATGAAGTTCTTCAAGCTTGTTTTAATCACTCATAGTTTTGTGCACGTTCTTAGCTGCATAGATGTAAGCAATTTGTGTGTGTGTGTGTGTGTGTGTGTGTGTGTGTGTGTGTGTGTGTGTGTGTGTGTGTGTGTGTGTGTGTGTGTGTTTTCTGGTTTCCTTCAATGTGCGACATGTGTGTTTACAGTACTCAGTTGTGTATGTTTGGAATGAGAGTTGTGCGCACCTAAAGCCTCGTTCACCGGGTAACT